GCAAATGAACAGCACGAAGTGTGGCGCTTATAATCTATCGAGTCTGTGAGCTTGCCGAGCAAGAGTCGTTATAACAGAGCATGGTTGATGAGGGCCAGGAATATATCAGATGAGGTCGAGTCCTTGAAGAGCCCGTCGAGGAGACTGAGAGCCGTCCCGGAGAAGGAGAAAACTGGGGCCACGAAGAATGGTGGGGAGGTTTATAAAGGGTGTAGGAATCGCCCCAAAAGAGGATGTGATAGTTTTTTGGAAGGGTTGAAAATGTGGAAATGATAATTAAGGTAAAGTGAAATGTGAAAAGGAAAAATGGAAATAAGGGTTTTTAAGGGGGTTAAAAAAAGGGAATGAAAGGAAAAATAAGGAAGTAAAACGGCTGGGAATGCAAGCGCATTCCAAAATAGGAGTAAAATGGGATAAAGGGGACGAATGTATAATAAGGTTTTTACGGGTGTAAAAGAGGAAAAACGAAAGTGCAGAAAACTGTAAACACGCAGGAATGCAAATTGCATTCTGAGTCATAGGGTAAAAGGGGGAAAAGAAGAAAGAAAAAAAATATATATATAATTTTATAATAAGAGCATATTTTACAAAGGGAAAGGGAGGTGGAGGGAGGGTAATATGCATATCCATTAAACTATTATGGACAGGAAATGATACTCATTTTTCTGATAGCTAATGAGTAATTTGTATCCGTGAATGGCACCTGTGACTCCGAGAACTTCTGATGTGCGCGGCGTTGAATGAAAGCGGACCGGGGATAGGCATTTCGGAGTCCAGAGGCGTAATACAAACAGGTGTAATTAAAGGTAAGATAGAAATTGAGGAGAAAGAAAAAGAAGAAAAGGAGAACGACATGCGAATACCATACTAATATCGATACTTTGGTACTGTGGGCGTAGCTGGTGATGTGCAGTTTTTACAGAATTTCTTTTTTTTTATCGTGGAAGAAAACATGCAATTTTATTTTGCTGCATTGCAGCAGAGTGATTTGCAAGCAACTCTGTCGATGATGGAAGCCGCCGCATGCAAAAGTATGGCAGAAAGCACATCCACGACACCATGTTTGCTTTTGTTTTGTCCAAAAGTTGGACAAAAGTTTGTTTGTCCAAAAGTTGTCGAAAAGTTGTCCAAAAGTTCAAAAGTTGTCCAAAAGTTGTCCAAAAATTGGGCAAAAGTTGTCCAAAAGTTTGTTTTGTCCAAAAATTTTTTATCATGATCATTTTCATGCTTATGCACATCCTGAGCATTGATACATCTGTTCTAGACGGAATCGTGTTGCAATTGGGACTGATATAAGGTGAAGGGCTGTCTGATTTCAAATAATTGCAGGTGCAATGATTGGTCCATCACCGAAGTCGAAGACTTACATGGATCCTCGCGCACATAGTGCATCTGTTGCTGCGATGGCTCACCAAATGGCGCTGCGAAGGAAAGTGCGTTTGATTTGTTCATTTTTAACAAAAAAAGATGAAATTTCCTCAAAAATTGTACTCTCATAAATAATCCCCGTTCCTGGCCTGCATAACTACGCAAACTTCACTGATAAACTTAATAACTGAGATGATTGCGACGGAAGAGGTTTTGCACAAGATTTGTGAAAGTGGATTGTTTAATTTAACCAATTTATAGCAAAAAATGGAACAAAGAAAGACGGAGCCCAGTGCTGAAGAAACAAAAAGCGAAACAGATTCGGAAACAGTATGGGTTGAAGCGAAAACAGAGACTGGAGTGCCATACTATTTCCATATGTACAGCGGAAGTAAGACCTTGCTTAGCTCCTTTTTCTTTTAGATTTACCGGGGGGTTTTTTTTTGTGTTTCACTTTTGATAACTTTTGATAACCAATTTCTGTACTTTTTAGCCAATTCCAGCATTTTACAGTACTTTCTTGCCCAGTGTTTGTTTTTATTTGATTAAATTTTGACAAATTTTTCCTCTCGATTAGCTTTTTCTACGCATGGATGGTGTTTTTTACGCTTGGTTTTAGCAAGAGAATTGTTCCATTTTTTATGCGTTTTGTGCTGTGTAACAGCAGTACAAAACGCATATTGTCACGGGGTTGTCTG